ATCTACGACGATAGGAAGGGTACCATTATTTTCGATCGATTTTCGATAATGACGAACGAGTCGAGCTGATTTAGAATTACGCGCGTCCATTTAACATTCGCGGTAGCTTAAAAGTTTCCTACTTCCGTTATCGCGTATCAGTAATAATATCAAATATAGAAGTTGTGTACGCGAAATCATTAATTAACATTCGACGTAAAGTTTTAATAAATATCTTTACAAATTACGGGATTATGAGAATGCTTACGATTACAGTCGTTACCATTACCAATAGATGATTCAAAATTAACGATTAATTATAAACAAAATTCAATGTATTTCCATAAAAATAACTTGTAACAAATATTATAAATTATAATTTTGTGTGATCATTATTAATCATTGTGACCGTTTACAAAACTTCCTTAGACATTTCTAAATAGTGGAGTTGATTGATGCGTTATGTATCTCGATTAGCAATCCTCGATCGCGTGTCCGCATCAACATGCGTATTTTTATGGCGTTTCAGCTCGTCTACTTACGGACGAATAACATAAATGATAGGATAAGAACAAGAGTGAGAATGAAAGCAAGATATATATATATATATATAGAGAGAGAGAAAGAGAGAATAAGATGAGAGGGGAGAATCAAAGAGAAACTCGGTAGTTACGATCTAAGGATGACTAACCAATTGCGTGAAACGTACAATTAGTAACTGGATCATGGCTGGAATTGGCTCTCGTGTACCTTAACATTATTGAGATAATGATCGCGTTACAACTGAGTCATCTGTTAATAAACTATATGGCGAGCGTTCGCGAATGTAACGAGAGATATGAGTGGGTGTAAGTATGTTCGAATTGCGCTTCGATTCGTTCCAGCATATAATATTTTGTTAGTGGATCCGGTATCATTGTTTTTACTTTTAATATAGTCTATTGTGCGAATTTGTCAATGATCTATCAACATACCTCCACATATACATTATTTATCTAGATAATAATGGTAAATAAATTGTTAATATTATTGGAAAATATAAAATAAATATTTTTAATCAAGAATATGATGATTAGGTAGATATAGAGTGGAGAAACGAAAGGCGATAGGTATGTGATACGGCCACTTTCCTATTTTTATCGTCTTAGATATCCTAGAGCGTTCTAGAATAGCTAATGATCTTACTTAGTTTATTTTATTTGTATATAAGCGAATGTCAACCACCGTACGGCCTCATTTTACGATTTCTTCTTGAACTATGTGCTTGTTAATAATACCTATATCATTTTAACATTTTCTCTTCGAATCAATAATTAGAAAATAAAATGTTTATCTCTATGTACTGTTACTACATCTATTTTGCATATTTGTCGATATAATCTATTGCTAAAATGATTACAACGTAACACAATAAGTATATGTTTTCCTAATAGACCGTTAAATCTTGAGATCATTCTTTAAGATAGATAACGGTTTGTATTGCTAAATGCTGGTAAAGAGTAAATTCAGTTCTATCAACAGAATTAAAACGTCGAGTTTAGATACGACGGATCTACTTCATTTTTCAAACGGAAAGGATTCGTTTCTTGTTTCGTCGACTACCTTCTGTTCGTCTTTAAGAAGCCACCACCACGCAGCTATTTGTGTCGTTTCTTTCAGGATACAAAAGATACAAGAGTTGGAAAGTTTCTGTTGATACCTGTTGCACATCAGAGAAACATCGCGAGAACGGATTCAGCCGTTGTATTCGGATTTAATGTCTTGGATAATGCGAGGTCTGCAATTTCGTGTCACGATCCTTCTCTACCGTTTAATAATCAAAAAAGTTCTTTTCTTTTGGTGAATTATTTTTAAACCGACTAATATGAATTAGGAATAGAATTTTGTTCAATTATCGAATCAATTTAAGCGTAAGGGGAACAAAGATCGATGTATAATAAAAGAATCATCCAAGTTACCTGGTTAGAATAAATGTTCGTCCGAGTTACCTGCTGGGCGCGCATCATCTGCTGCTGCATGATTTTGGCATGTTGATGTTGGTCCACTTGATTTTGTGGGACCTGTTGGGGATGACCGCGAGCACCAGTAGCAGCACCAGTTTGAGGAACGCTACCAGCCGCAGCAGCAGCAGCGGCAGCGGCAGCAGCTCTCTGTCTCAGACTTTGCTGAGTGAAGTTAATGGTTTGCGATTGCGATACTGAGCAGTAAGTATCTGCTTGGCTAGGTCCTGATTGATTAGGTGCTTGTTGTTGATTAAAATACATCCCTTGTTGAGCAGCTACGGATACTCCAGGTTTTAAATCTCCTGTGAGCTGCATATGTTGACCCGCAGATACCTAAAATCAACAAATTATTCATGATACAATCATCGATTCTTATGTGATTTTTATGATATTTTTTTGCATTCCCAAGACCCCATACTTTTTCGTATAGTCGAATTTTAAAGTGATATCTCCTGGAGTCACCATTTTTCAATGTAAATGGGCATACTTTACATATCCCCATGTTTACCGTCGCACAGAAACGAAACTTTCCTATACGTCATCTATCCCGAAAATCGTAAAACAGATCCCAGCCGGGGAATAAATATTTTACGAGTATCGTGCACGTCGATAGCTCTATCCGGAATCTCATTTAAATTCCTGATCTCTTATTATTGCGCGCGCTCTTATACACGCGATATCCTTTACGTCGCGCATGGTTCATGGTTTAGAATAGAAGATCGGATCGCGAAGTTTCGATCGAACCTTACTGGTTCCTACCCTTCTCTTTCCCCTTTGTTTCCGTACATCCAACATCACCACGGGCGGCCAAGAATTTAGTTTCTGAAAAAAAAAACATCGGACAAGTGGCGACTATTGTCCTGTCTCGTTTGCTGGTATCGTAGGCAATGATACCAAATGGCTACCGTTCCCCTCTATTTCATTCGGTTGTAGAAAGACAAAAGGGGAAGAGTTCGGGGATGTGTTTGAACTGCTTTAACAAACAGAAAGAGAGAGAGAGAGAGAGAGAGAAGATGGAAGGAAAGAAACAACCCACACTCCGAGCTTTGTGTCTGCGGATGACCTTTACCCTGGCTGATCGAACCGCGTCGTAATCTAGTGCGAGTTTCTATCTTGTGCGGCTTAATACAAACTAACGTTAAAATATGCCAAGAAAATAGCAATGAAAACGGTATAATCGAAACCGTGAGGATTTATTTTTACGCTTGATTAGATTGGAATAAGTCCAAAATTATTTACTATCTGAGCCTTTGGCAAGATGAAAAAAACACGTTTTAACGTTTATAAAATCATTACATTCTCTTTTCAAAAAGTACCTTTTCTTTTTTGCGTTATTGATTATTTCTTACTTCACACAATAGGAGTTTAAGAATCTGTGTATATACTTCGTAATCTCTATTGTATCTAATACTTCCTTCTATTGAAGAGAATATGATTCATATCGATAAACTATGCGTCAGTGAGTCGTGATCAATATTAGGAACTTAATCATTCTTCTCTAATTCAATCACTACGTGATTATTAAAGTTTATATTCTTTAAAAAATAATACGATCTTGCTTTGTGATTATACGATTTTGCGATGTGATTATTTTGAATATGAAATGTGTGTTACGAGATATTGTATTATTAATTTGTCAAGAGACGCGATAAGTGTCCGAAATAATGTTTAGCAGTTGATTTTTAACGAATCACGATCAGAGCTAAATTCATAGTGCTTCTAATCTATCTGTAAGTTAAATCAGGAGCATCGAATAATAGTAGCGTGCGACATTCCTCATTGACCTCGAACCACTTATCGGTTGTCTCCGCTACTCCTTTGTTCGGGCACGCATCATATGGAAATCGACGAGGTGGTACCGCAGTGGTGCGTCTTTATTATAGCAAACGACTTATGGCTACAGCGGTTGCTAAAGTGTCACAAGGTCTCGTACGAACGCATCGAGGACTTCGTATAATATAACTAATGTAAGCCACTAGTGTCAATTACGAATATCTTCGAAGATAGGCGATATATTTCGTTTGACATTACCTAAGAATTTTTTAAGTTATTTTTATAATGATAATTACTACTTAATAATTAATAATATAAGCAAACAAATTTTCTATAATCAATTTATCGAAATATACAAATGGAATTTTTATAATGCAACAATGTTGTAATTACAGACTAGTTGCTTTTGCTCGTATAACGTAATTGGTGGAGAAAAAAAGTTAAAAAAAAGATATTATTCGTGTTAATTAGTTTATGCCTATCCTTGAATCTCTCTATGCAACCTAATCGATCATTTTATTGACAAGGTTTAACGAAGTATTATTATTCGATAAGTAAATCAAATAAAGAACAAACGTGTGGAAAAGATTTTATTTTCATCTATCACTCTTTTAACTGCCTCTTTCATTTACCGTTGAAAATTTCCATGACTTTCGAGAGGGCAGTAGCATGAACATTCCAATACGCAAACGAACGCGTCCTGTCACCGTTTTCACGAAGATCTTCATTACGGTAATTAGAGAACTCCACAACCCCACGAGCTGACCTCCCGTTTCGACCACTATCTCGAATTCTCTCCAACGCGCAGTGTTATTCGTATCATTCCTATATTCAAAGTAGTAGTGTTGGTAGGCGGTGTTCCATCATTGGAATATATACAAACACACACACATATACGCAGGAACGCACACATTAAAGAAGAAAAGGGAGTTACATACACACATTCAGTATAATATGTGATTATGTATGAGTACATGTGAGTAGCTATATAACGAGATTTTCTTATGTAACTCTATGTGCGTTTATACGTATATACATATACCATATATATATATATATATATATATATATATATATATATACAGTTATGTATGTTAAAGTAATACTATGAGTGCACGACAGGGTAATGTGTACGCGCATGCGATTTATGTTTAGCCAAGAAAATTTGCGCATGTGTACTAGATAGGTACGTATACAAGGTGGATAGCGTTGTAACGCGATCGTAAGCGACACTCGCGTATGCGAGCGGCTACGCGACGTATGTTGATGGGTTCGTACATAAATATTATAATTGATACGGTTTTCGAAAACTGATTGAAAACATTTCTGTATATTTCTTCGTTAAATAAGTATATTTCATTAAAAAAAATAAAAATTAAATCGATTTTTTTTCAAGTTATATAGAAATAAATAAACATAAACAATAAGATATTTGCCGTATTATTCATGATTCTCGAATGATGACACGTACTTTGCGAAATGTTATACGTACAAATGCATGCACATAGAGAGGCACTAACAGAAGGGTCGACGTACGTGGTGCGCGTGCGGTTTACATGTTTACTGAAGCAAGAGCCCTCCGGAAGGGCATATAGTTACAAATGTGTAGGAGAAACCTACTCGTCCGGTCACGCATAATTAGCCTAAATCACGCTGCCGTCTAGCCGGGAACTCCGTTGTGTCGCGACATCTGCGAAGCACGTGTCTCGTTAGTTCGCCCATATATGGATTAGTTGCAAGCTTTTTGGCAAAATCTACCATTTTCATTGCAGTATATCGTAAAGAAGAAGAGTATAATGGTGTAAAGGTATAATTCTTAATGACCGAACATTGTTGTACCAATTTTTGGAATTTTCGAAAAATGTATTTTAAAATATGAATAATTTCATATATACACACATTTATAATATTTTAATATTTTATATAAATTCGAAATAATAATTAATTGCATTCAAAATATAACATCAAGTAAATGACATAAGGCTTATAACTAGATCCCATCGAATTCTATCGATCGTGTAGAACGCTAACGCTTAATAAATTCTTACTGCAGAGTACATGTACGCGATACGAGAGATCAATATGTTGAACGTAATTACTATCTTTGTTACTATAGAACACTAGGTGGGTCTTGCGTATATCGGCTGATCGATTCGCTGGTAGAAACACTTTCATGAAATTTCAACCTTGTAATACGCTTTCAAAGGAGTTTAAATACATCTACGAAATATTTCTACTTTAATTAACCTACTTATTTCTCCAATAATTTTCACATCCAATTTAATACTAAATTAAATTTTATTTGAATCTATAATACATATGTATTATACAACTTTTTGTAACAAAAAAAAAAAAACAGAAACTCAAGTCAAATTTGTATAATATAATTAAATTATTAAATATGAATATACGAGTATATGGGGGATTCGTGAAAAGATTGAGCCGTTAAACTGACACTGGACCTACAACGAACCTAACAAAATCTTTCGCTTTCCATGCGACTGTTCTATCCACTAAACTATCTCTGATTTTCGGTGAATTTCCTCACGAATACTTATTATATTTGTCAAGGAAATACCAGATCCACATATATTTGAAACTTTTGGAATAATCAATAATTTAATGTTGATTATTTATGGAGTCATTATATTTCAGGTTTGGTCGAGGTTATCGACCACACGAATAGTATATACATACACATACATGTTATAGAAGAATAGAATAACGGAGCTCAAAATGAAACCGATTTTCAAAGGGGGAACGTTCTTTAAGTCAAAACTATGGCGTAGAAGTAAAGTGAAGATGGAAGCTAAGCTAATGTAAGTATAAATCCCTTGTTATTAGCATATTGTCGAGGAGAGGTCCGAGTGTGGCCATCATCGTCATCGTCGTCGTCGTCGTCGTCGTCGTCGTCGTCGTCAACGACGCACACTTGGTCGCACGATATCTTGCTATTTGAACGGCTACGTGTTTGCTAGGCACGCCGCGTACAGGCGTGGAATCGTATTGTAGCTAATATCACGATGTGGTAATCGCTAATCATAGCGCTTCTACTCGAGGTGCTCATTCCCAACCAACATCCGATCGAAACGGAAATCACGTTAACTCCGATGAATAAGTTCGTATTATTTAAAAGACACGATATATATCAACGAGAAGGAATTAATTCGACGACGTTTTATTGAATTTTTCTTCTTTTTTTTTTTTTTGCCATTTTATTTATCTACTCATATAATCGCTCGTTTAAAATGAAAAATACAATGTGTTTCATAGTCGAATGGTTAAATATTAAACGAGTTTACGTCAGAGTTGTTAATCAAATCATCGTATGATTTATTATATTCGATGAGAATAGTCTTTTAAATTTATATCTTCTATCTGAATCTTATCTCGATGAAACGCTACAAATATTTTTATTATGACGATAAATATAAATTTGTAGAATATAAAAAAATAGACGACGGTTTAGTTAGTTTCAGTAGGATAAACAGGTTTTTTCTTTTTTTTTCCCCCTTCTTTTTTTTTTTTTTTTAAGGAAAATAGAGAAGTCAGACGAGGTTGAAGAGAATCGGGCGGAAACTCCTGAGCTTCTAAATGCGTCTTATAATCCGGTACTGTGTAATCTTGTGAAATCGTGTGCAATAATGCGGTAGCAAGAGCATTATTACCAACGAGGAGAAGAGTGTAAAAGTAAAAAAAAATGAGCAAGGTAAAGCGGGTAGAAGTTAAGAAGGTAGGATGGATATAGAAGAAGGCGAAGCGTTTAAACGAATAACTCATAGAATTCAAACAAGTCAAATGCAATCACTTCCTCCGAACGTGTTCTTTTGAAAAATATTTGTACCCTTTCATTTCGATTAATATTGTTAAATGAACAACGAACCAATTTATATGTGATATTTGATTTAATTAATAAAATGTTTCGTTCGCGTTACCGCATTTTATTCGTTCAATTATATTATTCGAACATTATTTCTATTTTTCTACTTTATTAGAACAAAAGTTTAAAGATATTTGAATAAAATATCGTGATGTATGTATTATTTCTTTAAAAATAAATCAGAATGTTATATCGATGAAGTAGTTTAATAAAATCGTGAACGATATCTCATAAAAGAAGTCTTTTCACAAGAAGACAAGAAATGACTTATATTAATCGCAACATTTTGAAACCATAAAATTGATGATTTACAACATAAAATGAGATCTTGACAGTAAACATAGTATAAATAATCATGGGAAATGCTTTCTAGAAGAGAGTTCACATCGGAGAACCACTGATCCACTTTGCAGGGTGCAACGCTCCGAGGTTCGCGAGTACTATTGCATCGCAAGAGGAATGGCATCCCAACGGTAACCTTCGAATGGACACCTCGTGACGGAATACGCAACAGTGGAGAGATAAATCTAAGCATCTAGCGAAATATATTTGCTCGCAAGTTTGAATGAGAATAATTTTTCATTAAAGATTTGGCCAATCGAACCAAATCAGAAATAAAACGAGTTCGATTGGATTGAAAAACGGAGAAGAACTGTTGTCGAATGAATATAATACTTATCGATTCGATTACTAGTAATAATTAAGATCTATTAAATATAGTAGTATCCATTTAAAGATTATTGGAGAAAAATAAAATGAAAATTTGAAGAGTGAGATCACAAAGCCAAACCAGGACAAATTTTCGCGGTCACTGACCTATCCCCACCCCAAAGTGTGTTGATTGCACGTACCGAGTAGATTCATCGATGTACTATCATTGGCAGAATAACGAGAAGCCATCTGCACCACCACTACCACTACAACCCCCCAACGGTTACAACCCACCGCAGAGTTAGCAGAAAATCAACGACAACCGTTTCTCTTTACTTGTTATTTGTTCAGTAATCTGTTACTTATTAACTTACAAAACATTTTCATCCAGTTTTGTTGGTCTATCATATTTAAGCAATTATTTTCAATATGTGGAACGTGTGAAACTAGATATTTCAGTTTTATAATGTAATATGTGATCTAAATCGAGTTATGTATTGATACTTACCAGGCAAATTATAATATTTTAAGACTTCAGTGATGATGAACAACCACAGGTCTGCGTTTAATTTCTAACAAGTTTTGGATTCAAAGTATAAGAAATTGTCGATGTTTACTAAAATCCATGCAAGTGTTAAATACAAATGTAAAATGGCAGATTGCCCGATGTTGCGTTGCCGCGTCGTAAGTCATATTACGAGATATTGCTGACACAAACGGCATTTATGCGTTTGTCTACGAAATATGTTCATGGTACTTAATATAATGCGCTCATCATCATGATCGTTTTGTCGTACATATATCACGAACTATTTTTCTCGCTTTAGAATTTTATATTCTTATCATTTACGAGTAGAGTGTCATAGAATAATATTTATATATATCTATATATATATATTATGCACAAAACCAAAAAGTTGATCATAATTTGTTCTAAATTCAAAATATCAATTGAGAATCGCGAATAAGTCAGATCAGGCAATAGATCATTGTCCGTACTTTAAAACACGATATTCATGTTCGGAGGTATTCGTTGGATGACAGTCGAGAGTTACTATACACGAGTCTTGGTAGCAGACGAATAATCCGGTTGAAAAGTTAGAGCCGTAGAACAATGGAGCATTTCGTGTCGTCACTGGTACTCGGTAATTTCTCTCTACAGAGAAATGAAAACGGGAGGAGTCGCAAGAGTAAGAGAAAAAGAGAGAAGAGAGAGAGAGAGAGAGAGAGAGGACTATGATAGGTATAATCTCATCTCATTTTACTTTACCTACATATGTTTAATTAAACTCATTTTCTTCATTGTTAATGATCTACTGTAATTTTTTACGTATTCGAGGATCTTTTAACAAGTGGACAACATTCCAATGTTCAACTATAATTCCGTTAACATGACTGATTAATTATGTGCCATAATCTCAAAAAGAAATCTTTCTTAGTGATCTCCAAAACTTGTTTTCATCTCGCAGAGGTAAACGATAAGAACGACGAGCAGGGAAACAAATTCCATCTTAAATACTGCACAATACTTATTATAGAATGAGATTTTGCGAACCGTGAACCGTATAGGTACTTATGATAATATCATACTTAAGAGATTCTCGTTCAAAAAATTCAAGATGAGCATGTGACCAAAAATATAAGCTGAGACGTGCCATCGTTACGTTTTTATACCGAGTGGTCTTTTCTTCTTTACGCTTTACTACGACATCGTGAGGTCACGTACGCAATATCTGTATATTTTATACTAGCAAGCATAATTCTTCGCCAAGTGTCGTCTAATTTTTATTCCATCTTTTACATGCGACTGCTGGCCCTAAAAATGCTTTATACATGACATTTATTTATTCAAACTGTTGTTATTTTAAAAATTCTCATGATGGTTAATAAAAGATCAAATAAAAATATAAAAGAAAAAATTAATTAATATACTCATTACAAATAGGGATTTAATACTTTTATATATTATTATAATTATTCGTTATAGGTATTTTCGAATTTAGTTACAATGGACTTGAAGTCCCCAAAATTCATGGTTGCCTCACGTTTGGTTTATTTTTACATAATTTTAACTTTACTGTGCGCAATATGGGAATTACGTTAATAATAAATTATTTTATATTATTTATATTATATATATATAAAGAATAAGGATTTATAATATTTCGTTTTATTTAATATTGCAAGAATATATAATATGTTTAAATATTCATTTCATATAGTATATTTGTAATACATATATTGTAATTATTTTATGATGAATATTTTCTTCTCTCTCTCTCTCTCTCTCTTTTCCTCTCTCTCTCTGGATTTATTTTATTAATTGAATATATCTTTTATGCACCTCTCACCCTTTTCGTTGATCTTTTTCAAATAATTCGTTGCATAATTACAAACATATATGAAAATATACTTGCATTATTGTGAGATTGTTTTTTTAAATTGGCAAAAAATCATATACATATAATGAACAATTGTTTAATACAACATCACAAAGCATCGTTCTTTCACATTCCAGTCACTTTCGTTCTTTACTTTTACGTTTAGTTCAAAGCAAAGTCTAACAGCAATGTCCCTTATTCTGCAATGGAGGTTGAAAGCTTCGTACAGTGGTATAGACAAATACAGATAGTCTAGTAGTGCAACCAGCTCTATTGTCAGACTAACGATGGTCTCTTCCAAAGAGAAACGGTGCAATCGTTCGGTCGAAATACGCAGTTAAATCGAAAACCAATGTGTCAGATAATTAGAATTTATCTTAAATAGCTAAATTTCCTAATTAAATTTTCTTTTAAAAATCTTATCTAATCTAAATAAATATCAATTTTTCTTTCATTTTATTTTCCTTATCAATTCATTTTATTATTTTATTGAATATATATAACTCTCGGACGAATTAATTGTAAGAACGAAATGAAAAACATCACTATGTTTAAAGAAATAGAAATGTATTAATGTATTTTTTCGGAAATCAGAAATTGACCTCTGACAAAAATACAAGTAATCGACTACAACTTGCTTGAAGTAAGTTAATATTATACGTATTTTTTTTATTGGCAAGGAGGATTACACACATCCACTAACTCAATAAAATAAAAAAAAAAGAAAAAGAAAAAGCGAACATATCTTTTTTACCTCTATGTTTCATAGTGTTCAACTTCTGACCACATTATATGCATACAAATAATACAAATGCATCGTACATGTAGATCGGGGCGTTTCAATGAAGCAAAGAGAATTGCATCGTTCAAGTGGTGGTTATAATCGTGCAAACGCAAACCGAATATACCCCCCTATAAAGTAGAAAAACCAGCTAATGAAAGTTAATGCATGCAACTTCTCCCACAAAAAAAGAAAGGAAAAAAAAAATATAGGACAAAATGAAAAATCATATTTCAATTAAAAATGATGCGAAAAATTTATCCAAGATTTTAAACGATTGTGAATAATCGTTCCATTATTTGTACGGGTATGCCAAAACATTGGTATGAGAGTTAACGCGCGTTTAATGATTCGTCGAAAGAACCATGGAAGAAAGTAGCGAGGCGTAAAGGTCGAGTTACACCGTGAAAGGAAAACGCTTGAATACGGTTTAACCCGAGGAGAAACAAGGGCTGGGAGGAAGAGAAGGTAGAATAGAATGAGTATGAGAAGGGAGGGGATGACAGAGAGAAAGAGAGAGAGAAAGAGAGAGAGAAAGACAGAGACACAGAGAGAAAGAGAGAGAGAGAGAGAAAGAGAGCTGCCTGCGTAACATACATGAAAAGCACTCACGGGGGTGATAGGCGTAATATTCTCGTGCGAGAGCGTGGACCGGAGAACCGAGCCGCAGAGAGAGAGAGAGAGAGAGAGAGAGAGAGAAAGATAGGAGGTAGTGTGGAGAGGGGCTTCCTGGTCGATATTAACCGTGAGACACCCACCTACCATCCACACGTATACTCGCATAGGTAGATGCTACGCAGAAGTAAAAAGAGAGAGAGAGAGAGAGAGTAAGAGTGAGAGGGAGAGAGAAGAGAGGATAGGCACGTGCGGTTGTACGCGCTTGCCCTCGCACACGGTGGCCGATGTACAGATATCGCGTAACTCGATGATTAGCAGCGACGACAAACCACCCTCTCTCCAGCACCACTTCCACCACCACCATCCACGTTGTCGGAGAAGTCTCTTTCCCTTTCCCTCATCCTCACCCTCTCTCTCTCTTTCTCTCGCTTTCTCTCTCTCTCTCTCTCTCTCTCTCTCTCTCTCTCTCTCTTTCGGTACGTACTCCACTCTGGTATACCACTCCCACTCAAAGCTGAGCGAACGGGTGCACACGGGAGCGTGTGCCAAAAGGGTGCGCCGTTCGACGCCTTTGACCCACGGACACGCGCGCTTTCGTGTCGCGCAAGATCGATCGATCGCAACGCGGAGGCGATGACTGCGCACGGACCATCCGAACTTTTCGTTATCGCGCATTCTTTCGAATTTAAGATTACACGATCCTTCCTTATAGTCTTTTATAACGATTTATATTAGATTAAACGATATGAATAAGATATAACATTTGTATTGCTCTCTTTTTTTATTTTTATTTATTTATTTTATTTTACTTTTATTTTTAATACTGCAACATTATCATTGTTGATTTATATATTGGATTTGAACTTGTCTACTAAAGTAGTATATTACGAACGTATACCTCTTCCTACTACATGTAAATATCTATATTTTGAATTTTGCGTACGAGTTATTTACGGTAGGTCTTCTTTCTTTTGGGTTGTTTATCTTTAAAAATATTTTTCCATTTTTATTTGATTGTCTTGTAAATTTTAAAGAAAAATGCGAACATTCGTATAGGTAAGAAAATGTTATTATTCATATTTATTTTTTTCTTATAAACGGCAGCTACTTTAAGAAATTAACAATGTTGAAAAGGATGAAACGTTTACTAGAATTTTATTTGTTTTCATGGTAAAGATTTTTAATCACGCGAATCAACGAATTCAGGTGAATAACAATTATTATCAATTTAACATAGAAACATCGATCGCAAAGAGATCGCTCTTCAGATATAGAGTTTAATCGGAGAGCTTTGAAACGATATTGTTCGAGCCGAATCGAATTTCGCGTACGCTCAAACAGAACGGATAAAGTGGGACTGATAACCATAGACACCTTGTTGGTTCGCAAGATAGATAATAGTTTCTAGATGAATATCGTATTGATTCAAATATTGAAACATAATATATCGCATTAAACGATACGATCGATCGAGATTTAAATTATTTAAGATTTGTTCGCGATCGATAAAATTATTGAGGGGGATGACA